GAGTCTCCTGCCTCAGCCTCCCAAGTAGCTGGGACCACAGGCACCCACCACAACGCCCGGCCATTTTTTTGGTTGCAGCCGTCATTGTTGTTTGGCAGGCCCAGGCTGGAGATTCGAACCCGCCACCCTAGGTGTATGTGGCTGGCGACCCAGCCGGTTGAGCCACAGGTGCCGAGCCGCATCACCAGTTTTCTGCCCACACTGAGGGGCCATCACTTTGTTCCCTTGGGGTTGTGAACCCCAGAGCTGGCTCCATGCCTAGTGAGGGGCCCACTTCTTGAGGGGTGTCATGACAGAGGCACACCTGACAGCGGCGTCCCTCCCTGGGGTGAGAGCAGGTCACTTGCTCTGGGTATCTCTGGCCAGAATCTACTTTCCACCCAAATGTTTCTCTCTGGTATTTCCTTCACGGGCTTACTTGGCAGGGGTGCCCAAAGATGAGGGTGTTAGCCACATTCTCACTTCAGTGACGACGCCTTGCTCTCCTCTGCTCCTGGACAACTGTCCTGAGGACCGTGCATGGCTGCACTTGCTGCTGCTATTCCCAACTCAGCCCCTAGAAGGGACCACAATGGCAAACGTCTAACAGACTGCTGGGCAGACACTTCATACTGAAGTTAGTCTGCTGCTGCCCTACAGGTCCGTCACCTCGGCTCAACGTGGTTGGCGCCTTTGGGTTATTTCTTGCTGTCATCTATCATCTGGAGCTGCTCTTGCCTCTTCAACACCCACTCTTGACTCTGTGCAGGGATCCTGGGAGAGCAGTTTGTTCCAGACGGGCCGCACCTGCACCTCTACCATGCGCACGGCTGGGTGAAGCTGATGAACTGGCAGCACAGCACCATGTACCTGTTCTTCGCAGTCTCCGGAATCACGGACATGGTCACCTATCTGCTCAACCACGTTCCCTTGGGGGTGGACAGACTGGTTATGGCTATGGCAGTATTCGCTGAAGGTAACTTTGTGGAATGGAAGAAGGGGGGTCCTGAAAAGCTGTAATTATGAGGGAGCACAGCACAAAAGACCAGAAATGCTGCAAGCCAGGCATGAAATCCTATGCCCATACTCCCAGCTACTAAGGAGGCTAAGGCAGAAGGATTGCTTGAGTCTAAGAGTTAGAGGTTACAGTGAGCTATGATCATACCACTGCACTCCAACCTGGGCAACAGAGTGTCACCCTGTCTCTAAAAAACTTTAAAAATAATTCTTAAAAGACCATTAATTTTGTGAACGTAATAACCTCCCCCCCCCCCGCAAAATCCACATCTCTGGATTTCCAAAAACTGAACAGGACTTGGTCCATGCCATGGATGGGCCAAATGACATATCCAGTACAGCAGCCCATGAAAGCATGAGGCTTTAAGGCACTCCCAGAACCCCTGGTTAACACTACATAGCCCCTCCACGTCTTCCCATGCCACCAGCACCCCTGCTCACACACCTGCACACTCCTTTGTGGGTGTAGGTGTACACATACACACAAAAATGTTTCAAGACTACTGGAATGCCACCACACAGAGTGGGAAGTCCCTTTGGGCAGGTTAAGAGGAACTGCGCTCCACCCGCCAGCCACTGTGCCTCCACCAAGAATGTCAGGAGACCCACCCTGCTGCTACTTGAGTGCTCCCGATATGACTCACTTTACCGGGAGTATCAGGAAGCATGTTGTAATCCAACAACCTCACTCTGTACTTCAGGAAGACTTGAAGGCTGAATGACAGCAAAATTGAATTTCCAGTGTAGAGTCACCATTTGTCACGGACCACCACGTTTCACCCGCATCCTGTATGAACACTACCCTGGGTCCTGTATGGGCATTTAAAGATGCAGCCTTCACTGTTCATATTCTTTTTTTTTTTTTTTTTTTTGAGACAGAGCCTCAAGCTGTCCCTCTGGGTAGAGCACTATGGCTTCACTGCTCACAGCAACCTCCAACTCCTGGGCTCAAGTGAGTCTCCTGCCTCAGCCTCCCAAGTAGCTGGGACCACAGGCGCCCGCCACAACGCCCGGCTATTTTTTGGTTGCAGCCATTATTGTTGTTTGGTGGGTCCGGGCTGGATTCGAACCCACCACCTTAGGTGTATGTGGCTGGCGCCTTAGCAGCTTGAGCCACAATTTATATTCTTAACGTACCCATGAAATAAACTTCATCTGCATCTGTTTGTTGCTCTGTAAACTGACTTCCTAAATGCTGAAAAATCTAGTTCTGAGACAGGTGTAGAGGAAACCCCAGTAACAGAAAACCCAGAGTGAATCCTCTGGTGAAGAAACAAGCAAATCTGACGGCTGTCGTGTGGTTTGTGGCAGGTTTTCTCTTCTACTTCCACGTCCACAACCGACCACCACTGGACCACCACATCCACTTCCTACTGGTGCTTGCTTTGTTTCTTGGGGGCGTCAGCATCTTCCTAGAGGTCTTCTTTCGGGACAATACTGTGCTGGAACTTTTCCGAACCAGTCTCATTATCCTTCAAGGAACCTGGTTCTGGCAGGTGATTATTCACAGCAAGGTTCCTCCAGGGGTCTGGACAGAGGAGCCCCGCAGAGGACTTTCAGCCCACAAATGCAGCCCGGGCAAGTCATGGGACGGGTTTAAAAGGCCCTTTTCTCCCCACGCCCACCCCCTGACCGCTGTAATTTTAGCCATTCACATCCTGCTGATGCGTTAACAAGCAGAAGGCACGGAACCCACACCGCGCGCCCACACCGCAAGCCCACCAAGCATTTCCCAGCCTCCCCTCCCCAGTGGGGGACTGACACCTTCTACAGGCTCCACTTGCTAAACTGTTGACTCAAAATTGGAGCCTGGAAGTTTTTTTAAGCCTACACTAAAACTAGAGCACTTTTCCCGTGTGAGAAGGCTTTTATATGCTAATGAGGCGTGCAACTGTAAAGTGGTGGGAAGGCTGGGTGGCTTCTCCAAACAACTAACCACAAGGCCAACTTCTCTGTATTACCCACCAGATCGGGTTTGTGCTGTTCCCACCTTTTGGAACACCAGAGTGGGACCAGAAGGATGAGGGTAACATCATGTTCATCACCATGTGCTTCTGCTGGCACTACCTGGCCGCCCTCTGCATCGTGGCCGCCAACTACACACTCGTCTTCTGGTATGTCTTGGAGAGACTGCGGTGAAGTCTCCTAATTAACCCCTAAGCAGCACTGATCTGATTAACTTCTACCATCTAATGAGAGCTAACTAAGTGCCAAACTCTGTGCAAGGTCCTGCACACTGCAGCGAAGGTCCTGCTGCCCCGCACACAGGGCAATGAGTCTTTACAAGTTAAATGACCTGTCTGGATCACCCTGGGACCAGGTTCCAAATGCAGTTCTGTGGTTGGTGGCGCCAACCAAGTATGACTTTGGAGCCAGTGCCGGACGGTAGGCCCTGCTGCCCTGGCTTCATCCTGGACACCTCCTCTTACTGCTGGACTTACCCTGCCTGCTTCCCAGAGGGGTTGTGACCATGAGAAAACACATCAGAGGGGAAAGTGATTTCCACGTGCTCTGTAGAGGTGCACAGACAATCCATGTGAATTCCTAAGCACTTGCCGGGTCCCAGGCCCTGGGGACAACACACACTGACTCCCCCTCTGCTGTCTTGCAAAGTACGCAGGCTTTTTTTCTTTACAGATGGAGAAACCAAGGCTTCAAAACACTGAGTAACTTGCAGGGTCACCATCCAGTAAATACCAGAGGTTCCCAGGGCAGGTGACATGGCCCTGCCAGTTCTATTGCTATGGAGCACCCGTCTTTTTAAGTCCTTACATACTTCACTCAGAAAGAGTCCTGCACAGACGAGTTAGTTTCTTATGGTTCTATTGCCAAGTCAGTGAAATAGTAAACCAGAAGAAAACCTTAGTTTCAAATATGACATTCAGTAATTTTAATCATGAGTTCCTTTACCTACTAATGAGTAAAATAATTACCTAAGAAGTTAGATGTAGACATCTAATCAGTATTTGATAGAAATACAAAGTTTTAAAAGCCAGCGGATGCCTTAACATCCTTCAGTGAGGGGATAAGGGAATTCTGGCTACACTAATGGGCTCTACTGCTTCTCCATTACTGCAGTGTTTCGACTCGGATAAGGAGACCTGGAGGAGGAGAGGTCATTGGGATTCAGAAGCTGAAGGCTGATCACACTTACCAGGCCACCCTCCTGAGCGACTCAGATGAAGACTGAGCCTGGGCCATGCAGAGGGTGGACTTCTGCTGCAGGGCAGGGGACAAAGCTCACCACAGCGCTGCTACGCTAGCTGCGGCCGGCTCCTAAGGGTCTACGTTGCCTGCTCACTTAACTCAAGGCTGGAGGTTCTAAATCAGGAAATTGCACCTTCAGAGTTTTATCTACCTTGCTGTTTGGATTTTTAAACATAATTTAAGCTCTGTATTGGTACAGTATGTTTCATAAAGAAAAATGATTTAATACCTGCAGGCAGCAAGGTTTTTGTCTTTGGTGAGAAATGAGAGACTGAAAGCTGCAGAGCAAGAAAAGGGCCTCACGGACAAATCCTGGCTATAAATCCAGCAGGAAAACTTACATTCACCCCCCCTTTCTCTCAAGAAAACAACAACTTTCTTATCAGAAAGATATTAAAACATCAGCGAACAACAGTGCCTTTATTTTAGAGTTAAAATTCTAACATACTTTTTGTAAGCCATGAAATAATTCACAAGGTTTGGTATTTTTAAATATTACTTGTTACACATATCCTAACTAATCGTACCACAGCACTGCAATACCACTGTTGACAAGTTACAAAATTAGGCCAAAGATTGTGTTTTTTAATCTGGAAGCTAGTCAGTGGCTCAGCTGAGAGCTGGAACTCTCAAAGTTGCCCTAATAAAGGATCTGACAGCAAAGGTGTATAATGAGGTAGAAAGAGAATGTCTGGTTATAGAAGGCCTTCACTTGTAATATAATTGGAAGTAAACTCTCCAAAGGATGTAAATTCTGAATTAGTAATATAAACTCTTGATATTCTAGTCTTGGTTCTGGATCTGATTTTTCCTTTTTTAAAACTTCCTTCAATATTTATTAAACATCCACTTTGCACCAGCAATGACATGGTTGTAAGGATGAAGAAGACACGTGTCCAGTGAGGAGTTTGCAGGCTACTGCAGAGACAAAGCAGTTACACCCAGCATGAGAGATGCTGTGAAAGGTGAGTACAGATCACAAAGAGAGAGAGAGAGAGAGGAGGGACGTGGGGAGCTTGCCCTACAGACAGAGCACATTCCAGGCACAGAGAGCAGTAAGCAGAGACAATGGAAGCAAGAAAGAACATGGAGAGCTCTACAAACTGATCAAAGTGAGACTAAGCAATACCTTTCATTTGCAAACTGTTTTTCAGATTCTAAGTTTGGTTCTCAAAACTACCAGTAATAATGTACTGAGTGCATGAGGTCCTTCAGCAAGGCTGGTTACCTAAGGTCACAGAGCTACCAAACAGCAAAACTGGTTTTGAGTCTGATTCAAAAGCCCAGAGTCTTTCTTACCATTCACACTGCCTTCTCGCATGAGATGCAACGCACTGAATGCACTTTGGAATAAGCTCTTAACAAAAAGTAACCTCCCATGGTTAGTCAGCCATTCAGTGTTGGAGTCACAGCCTAAGATTAAAACCGAGATACTAAAAACACTGATTAAGTTATTATTACAGACCTCCTGGGTCCCCTTTCAGGATTACCTTGGTTTGCCACCTGAGAAAGAACCCACTCACTCACTCCACAAGTACTGGAAACCTGCATGTGATGGCTCACGCCTGCGATTCCAACACTTTGGGAGGCTGAGGCAGGAGAATCACATGAGGCCAGGAGTCTGAGACCAGCCTGAGCAACACAACAGGATATCATCTCTACAAAAAAAATTTTTTTTAAATTAGCTGGGCACAGTGGCTCATACCTGCAATCCCAGCCAGCTACTCAGGAGGCTGAAGCAGGAGGATTACTTGAGCCCAGGAGTTTGAGGCTGCAGTGAGCTATGATGATGCCACTGCAGTCCAGTATGGGCAACAGAGCAAGACCCTATCTCAAAAAAAAAAAAAAAAAGAAAGAGAGAAAGAAAAAGAAAAAGAAAAAAAAATACCTCTATCATTGGCAGTTAATAAAAATGTGATACTTCCTTAGGGACTAGTGAGTGGGAAGAAAAACTCTATTTCTGTTTTATTTTCATGGAAAAGATCCACATTTAAGTTTTTTTTAAATACAAAATATTTTAAGGAAATGTATTTTCTCCAGAGTAAGGGACTGCAGTGTGATGATCAGATATAAAATACTAACGCTTCTCTGGATGCCCCTCACACAGCACGTTTGTGATGCCTTCAGTGAAGTTACCAACCCAGCACAGATGTTCTTGGAGGTGGGATTAAATTACAATACAATTCTCCAGATTCCATGGATTCTTAGATATGTGGTCAGAATAGTTTTACCAACCTCTGTGAAGCAGTGGCTCAACGGCTGCCACTGAAGTTCTTCTGGAATCGCTCCATGCAAAACGCCCACAGCAGCCACCCCACCACCTCCAGGAGACCCCTCAGTCAGCATACAAAAGAAGTATATGCATGGTGCTGTCACCACGAGCTCCAACGGGGTTTCCATTCTGCACTCTTCCAGGGCCGCGGGATAGTGCTCAGACTAGACTAGGAGTCAGGCCCACAACGGCATCCTGAAAGGTCTGAACTTTACGTTAGCATCGCACTCGCCGGACGTACACAGAAGAGAGACGGGTGGAGTCAGGGGCTCCAGTGACTAACAGCCTGGGGTAGGGCTCAGGCCGAACGTCAGAGATACTACGATGAAATCGTTTGTTAGACAAATTCAGAAGGGGTTTATTTTTAGCTAGCAGTAAATACCTGAGACAGGATCACTGAAATTTCTACCTTTTTCTCATTTGGAAACTGTGATAAGGCATTCAATGTGAAATGTGACTCTTGGAAATAACGAAGATGTGAAAATATCAAAGCATTATAAAATGCAAACACATTCTCGGGTGGCACCTGTGGCTTATATGGCTCCATATGCCAGAGGTGGCAGGTTCATACCCAGCCTTGGCCAAAAAATACATATATATATGCAAACACATTCTCCTTTACTCAGGTGAAAGACCCACTTCCCCCCTGCAGTCCCACTGCGGCCTCATTTCAGTACCAGGCATCACTTGCCCATCAACAGCTAGACCCCGGCTCAGCCTGCTCATCTCTGCTTTCTGATCCAGTTTACCACCTCCTAGGACAGAGCTGTCCCTGAGGCTCACCAGGACACATCGCAGCCATCCCCCACACCCTGGAGGGAGGCGGCAGACTCGATCTGGGAACAGGATTAGAAGACTAGACTGACACCTTAGCTGTCTTGAACATCAGCTACATCAGCTCAGACTCACATCTTCTCATAGGTAAAAAGGGAATGATGACCTAAATTTCAAACGAAATGTCTGTGAAACTCCTATGTGACCAGTAAGCCTCCCACACCTTTCACTGCTCCTCTGCAACCTGCCGCACTGCCAGCACCTACTCCTACTCCAGGCCATCTCCATTCCATGCCCTGCAGCTCCACTTCCTCACCCAGATCTCAAAGATCATCACTAACCCCACAGAGGAAAGGTCCATGTTTAATAATTTGCATACTTTGAAGAAAGGAAAGCCTATCACAATATAAAGGCTTTATCACCCACCTAAAAGATAAGAAAGGCATATATTGACAACCAGTGCTTCAATGAGTTTCTATATTTTCAAGTATCATTCTGAGTTCTACCTGGAGCTACTAGAAGCTGAGAAGTGTGAAATGCCAGGATTAAATGACTTCCAAATCCAGACAGACCTCTTTGGGGGTTGTCATTGCCAGGCAGGCAGATCCCTGGCCCTGTGCACCCCGCTCTCCTCCTGCCATCTCTGCGCTGGAACAGACCTCAACAAACTCTTCCTTAAAAGGCCATAAAAGAAGAAACCATTTAGGCTTGAAAGCTGTAAGTCTCTGTGTCAACTACTCAATTCTGCCTTCTAACCTGAAAGCAGCCGTAAATACATAGAAACAAATGGGTATGGGCTGTGTTCCCATAAAAACTTTATTTACAAAAACAGGTAGCCAGCCCCAAGGGTCTGGTTTGCAACTTTTGCTCTGGAATAAGACAGAATGTATCATCTCTGAACTGCAACACAGTTTTTACTGCAGAAGCAGCACGTCCACTCTGGTTCTCCTCCTCTGTGCACTGGCTCTGGTCACCATGTGAACAGGTTTGCCACAAAGAGCAAAGTCAGCAGGGGAAGCCAGGGACCACAAGCAAGATCTCAACATCCCATCTTTAAGGGGCTCTGCCAAACTAATCCATGTCAGGGAATCCACACTACCCCCTTCCTGTGGTTCTCCCCATCTTACAGCCTCTCCATCACCATTAGCTATCAAGTCAGCTAACAACTTATTAAAATTCTTGCTATTCTCTCATTCTGGTCAAAAGAATAAGTATCTGTTTAGGGAAACTAAAGCCCAGATTTCTATTTAATAAAGATGTATGATAGTCTCTTTAAAAAAATAAGTTACATAAAATTTTGTAGATGCAGAACTCAAATCTAGACCACTAGTCATGGAAAAGACCAGAGCTAAAAAATATAATCCTCACGCAGAATGAGACTTCTTCACTGTCTGTGAACTCCGCGATTGGGAAGCCTTCCCTGTGTGTCTTACTCCCAGAAGAGAGTTCTGGCTTGGACGACCGAACCGTAACGCGCTCCAATTCCAACAGAATCTTCTCCTAGATTGGTAGAGAGCAGACCCCAAAGCCTTTCTCAGGGAGCTCCACTGTGGAGCGTGCAGCAGAAGCCAGGCCACTGCTACCACCATGTCCCTACTCGCTGCCTGGACAGACAAGCTTATAGGAATGATACAACCTCCACACTCCCCTCCTTTCAGCCAGAAGGACAGAGTAGGCCCGGTCCTCACAGAGGTTGTCTCTCTCCCAGTCACTGCTGCTCGGGTGCCTGTTTAGGAGATGGAGCTGTGGTCACAACCACGGTAGAGACTGCTTTGGAAGAGCCGGATGCTGTGCCCTGTTGGAGATGGGACGCAGGGACAGTCTGGATGCGCACCTGTTTGCAAAGAGCAGAGATGTGATTGGTGCATTACAAGTGGGCTCATCAAATAGAACAGCAAAAGGATCAGAGCAAAGCCAAGAGCTAGCCTTGGACCTTACCTGTGTGGCCTGACCTTGCTGCTGCAGCTGCTGCAGCTGCTGGGCAGTGAGGAAGCTAACAGGCTTGTTGCCAGCAATGAGCTTGGTGCCGGCTGGCATGGTGGTGAGGATGATGTTGCGGCCCAACCCACTGAGGCTGTGGAGGGAAAGCAGGAGTAAGGTACGACCGGACTATGGGATATTCTCTCGGGCTCAGGGTTAGGCCATCACTGAAAGGCAACAGGGAAATCTAGTGCCAGTGAAAATCTCAGTATTCTGCTGAGACCACCTTTCACTCCATGGTGGGAGAAGGGCAAGCCCAGAAGCCCCCAGTACTCTGGTTGAAATGATCCCAGGGCCACGCCCTGACCAGTGGAAGTAACGAACAGGGCCCCAGTGAGGAGTGTGCTTCTGGTGAGAAACCCTCCCCAAACAGCCTCATCACACACGACTGTTAGACGATTTCATCATGCCCTATATACCTGCTTATGCCAGGGCTACAGGTGACCCTCACCCTTCAAACTGTTTTAGGTTCAGAGCTCAAATGTCAAAGACAGACTTCCCTCACACCCAACTGTGCACACGCAGAGCCGCTCCCTTTTCACTCCCCCGCTCCCCCCAAGTCTGATCACTACCCAACAAAGTATACTGCTTTTTATCACATCTCCCCGTCTCTAAGCTCAGTGGCAGTCTGAATTAATCACTACACCTAAAATAGTACCAGGTGCTGAATACAGGGGCACACACAACCAAGGTAAGACAACAAAGGAGAGATGGCGAAGGGGCCCAAAAAGACCAGCGACCTTCCCTCCTGAGACAGGACACCACCTCCAGGACAACGTAGCACTCACTTGGCTCCAAGGTTGCCTTTGATGATGGGGGCTGTGACCACGCCCTTGCCCTTCATCGGCTGGCTAATCACAGAGAGTGGAACTGTGATCCGTGTAGGCAGCTTCCCCTAAAGAGAAGAAGCAATCAGGTTTAGCAGGATAGACAAAGGAAACCACCAAGTGTCACCTACAGGGCACTAGAAACCCAGGAGCAAGTGCTGCAGATACTTATAGTCCCAGCACCCGCCAGGGTCTCAACACTCCAAGGTTTGTACCCTGGCAGCCCTAACAAAACCACTCACTGGTGTGAGGCTCTGTTATCATCCTCCTTCACGCTCCCTACAGCAACAGCAATCCTAGGTATCTGTTTTCAACAGGATAAAATCTGTACCTAAAATCACACAGCCAAGCATGTGTGTTCACATAAGCGCAGCCCTGGATTCTGAGCCCCTTAGGGGGAGAGTCTCACCGATCTCTCTAACCCTAATAAACACGTGGCACAATGCTTGTGGTAGACAGGACCTTGCAGTCACCTGTTTTCAGGCTGCCTGGTTTTAATGCTTGGTTGGCAATAAAATTTATACGTAGTAAAATCTTATGTAAATTCAATCTTTTTTTTTTTTTTGAGACAGAACCTCAAGCTGTCACCCTGGGTAGAGTGCTGTGGCATCACAGCTCACAGCAACCTCCAACTCCTGGGCTCAAGCAATTCTCCTGCCTCCACCTCCCAAGTAGCTGGTACTACAGGCACCTGCCATAATGCCCAGCTATTTTTTGGTTGTAGCCATCGTTTTTGTTTGGCAGGCCGGGCTGGATTCAAACCCACCAGCTCAGGTATATGTGGCTGGTGCCTTAGCTGCTTGAGCCACAGGCGTCAAGCCATTAAATCTGATTTGTAAAAAACTCACATGGGCTGGTTGATGATGTTAAGAAAGAGCATCAACAGTTCCCATGAGCTAACTCTAAGAAGCCAGGCCCTTGGCTGCAAAACTGTCTTGCAGGTCCCCAGACAGTCTCCCCAAAGTTTACTGAGAATTTGTAGCCCTTGAAAAAGCACTTAAAGGGCACCTGTGGCTCAGTGGGTAGGGCACCGGCCCCATATATCGAGGGTGGCAGGTTCAAACCCAGCTCCAGCCAAACTGCAACAAAGAAATAGCCAGGCATTGTGGCAGGTGCCTGTGGTCCCAGCTGCTCGGGGGGCCAAGGTAGGAGAATCGCCTAAGCTCAGGAGTTGGAGGTTGCTATGAGCTGTGATGCCACAGCACTCTACCAAGGACAATAAAGTGAGACTCTGTCTCTTTAAAAAAGAAAAAGAAAAGAAAAAGTACTTAAAGGTGTCAAAAGGCAAGGAAACACCTCTAAATAGTGCATGCAGATGGATTTACTTGTGGTCTTATTTTCTTCCTCAAAATGCCTTCCTTGCTTCAAACATCTCAGACTACCAGTACACCAACTTAACTAGCTGACTAGACAAGGGGGGCAAAGCACCATTCAATACTTCCTGCCCCACCAAACACTGTCCAGCTGCGTTCACCTAGAGTGACGTCACAGACAGAGGACACTGAGGGAACACCTGTTAGGAGGAGACTGAGGAGAAGCCACGTGGACGCAGTAGCGCCCATCCTTGCTTGCTGATACAGAAACCTAAGTACTGCCTTTTGAGCCACACTACGTCAGAGTCTTTTGCTTTGTGTTTGTTTTACTGACGTTGCTTGGACTTTGATCCCAAATTACTAAGGTTTCCCTACATAGCTTGCTTAGTAGGAAGCAACTAAAATCGTGTCCTATGCTGTCCACACACACCTCGCTGTTCCAAACAACGCTCCTCACCTAGAGGCTGAAGAATAAACACACACACACATCCAGGAACACACTGACACCGAGATGGGGGGTTGATTTATGATAAATGTACATTTCAACTTTGTAGGAAAAGGATAATTGATAATTTTGGCTTTATTTTAAAACTATGGGCCAGGAGTGGTGGCTCACACTTGTAATCCCAGCACTCTGAGAGGCCAAGGCAGGAGGATTGCTTTGAGCTCAAGAGTTTCAGACCAGCCTGAGCAAGAGCGAGACCCCATCTCTACTAAAAATAGAAAAACTAGCCAGCACCCATAGTCCCACCTACTCAGGAGGCTGAGGCAAAAGGATGTTGTGAGCCCATGAAACGTGGGTTGTTGTTAGCTCTGATGATGCCACTGCATACAATTGCAGTGTGACAAAGTGAGACTCTGTCTTTAAAAAACTATGACATGACAGCCCTGTCTCATGCCATTCACAAAAATATATGTCAAATGAATTATCAATTATATTTTAAACTCAAAAAAATATATATATTTTTTAAAAGACAGAGTCTCACTTTGTCACCTCTGTATAGTGCCATTATGTCACAGCTCACAGCCACCTCCAGCTCTTGGGCTGAGGCAATTCTCTTGCCTCAGTCTCCCAAGTAGCTGAGACTATAGGCTCCTGCCACAATGCCCAGTTATTTTTTGTTGCAGTTTGGCCGGGGCCGGGTTTGAACCTACCACCCTGGGCATATGGGGCTGGTGCCCTACTCACTGAGCCACAGGCACCACGCTAAATGCAAAATAGTTTATGAAAATAAAGGTTAATATTTTAAAACCTAGGTACAGAACTTAGAAACCATGAAAGAAAATGTTGATAAATCTAATCATGTAAAATACAAATACCTATAGAACAAAAGGCTCCTTATCTAAGGTTAAAAAATGACAAACTGTAAGAGAAGTATCTTCCATATGTTCATATATATATATATATATAAAAAGAATTAACATGCACAAAATATAAAGAGCCACCTCAAACAATCTGAAAAGGCCAAACACTTCAAAAGAAAACTGGGGCTTGGCGCCTATAGCTCAACCAGCTAAGGCGCCAGCCACGTACACCTAAGGTGGCAGGTTCAAATCCCCAGCCCGGACCCGCCAAACAATGACGGCTGCAACCAAAAAATAGCCGGGCGTTGTGGCGGGCGCCTGTGGTCCCAGCTACTTGGGAGGCAGAGGCAGGAGACTCGCTTAAGCCCAGGAGTTGGAGGTTGCTGTGAGCTGTAATGCCACGGCACTCTACCCAGGGGGACAGCTTGAGGCTCTGTCTCAAAAAAAAAAAAGAAAACTGGTAAAGATTTAATTTCTGGAAAGTATATGCCAATCTCTGCATGAATGGATTCTCAACGCGCTCATCAGGGAAACAGAAAGACAATCCCTGCTCACCAATGAAATATGCATATCCAGTTAAAAGCTATCGGCAGTTGTTAGGTGGGAAGCAGGCGGCCCTTCTGGGAGCACCGAGGCCTTCACTATGTAGCCTCCACAATGTATTCCAGCATGCTCTGCTGTAGACAGACTCACACACGCCCATACATGGGCAAGATCATTCACTGAAGCGCTGGTTGAAGGTGGAAATGTACGAATCCCTTCTATGGATTTCTATGATACCGTTAAAAAGAGCCCAGTCAGTACCTGTACATGGCCTCAAACTATCCCCAAGACAGAACAATACATACAGTAAGGTCTCTCAGGGGTTTGTTTTGTTAAAACTGCACGTATGTATGAAAACCCTGAGGAACAGGACTAGAAAGAAAAATGCCAAATTACCAACAGTAGTTAGTCCTCGTGAAAGAAGACGTGGGGGGCTGGGAGGGCTTACAGAAATTTTATTTCATATGCACTGTTCTTTAGTGTTTTAAAAGAATTTATGCATGTACTATACTTTTACAAATTATATTTCAAAATAAAATTTAAAAGTCTATCAGTAAATAAATCTATTTGGGTCAAATGAGATAATATACACAGAACTAATTTCCACTCCTAAAAACGCGTTTCTTCGTTCCTAGGGAAGGCTCTCACGTGACAGAGAGTTAAACAACCTTAAGAAGTTTCCCAAACAGAAGAGCTACTCTCTATCAGCAAAGTTACTCACAGGCTGGGATGTAGACATAACCGTGGTGTTGACAGGGACCTGCCGCACAGTGGGGGCTCCTGTCCCAATGCTGATGGGGGTGCTTGCAGCCCCAGAAGCCACAGCCACAGTCTTGGACACAGCAGCATTCATACTGGGCAAGGACACTGCTGACGTATGAACAGTTCCAGACCCACTGGCTACTGAGGCCCCTTGCTTGGCGTGGGTTGCGACTGTGATGGTCTGCCCTGCTTTGGGAGGCATCACCCCCAGGCCCTGCACGATGCGGATTGTGGCGGCTGGTTTTGCTTCTGAAGAGGCCACTGTGCTTTTGCCCTTCTGGTCTGCCACACTCACACCAAGAGCTGGCATCAAGCGAAAAGCTGAGCTTGAAGCTTCTGTTGGCTTGAGGTCAGGAGTCACTTTGACCACGGTGGTACCTGTTGGAGTGGATGAAGGGGCACTGGCTGAACTGGCCTTGGCAGGGCTGTCAGCTGCATGGACTGGGTTGGAAGTGACGTGTAAGGTAGCAGAGATGCCTTTGCCTGCTGCGCCGCTTCCTGTCCCGAAGAGGTCCTGGGTCAACTTGACTGTGGTGACCTGGGACTTGGCCAAGGTGGCCATCATGTCCGGTGTGATTCGCAGAACTGTCTGGCCCTTGGCATCTGTGGTGATGGAAGAGGGTGGCAGACGCAATACATCCTTACCCTGGATACGGAAGTTAGTGGCTGTGAGTGGAATGCTGTTGCCCGTCTGGGGCTTCACACCGAGCTGCCCGGTAATGGCCACCTGGAAGGGGAAGCAGCAGCCTGTGAAGGATTCACCGTGCTAAGGGGGCGACCCTCCACCACCAGCCAGAGCTCCACTTTCTGAGTGTATATGTCATCTTTTTTAACTTCTTTACTCTGAACAATGATAAACATTCACAGATATATGGAAATCTGAATACCCTTCATCAGGCTTGGTGTCTGTAGCTCAGCAGCTAGGGCGCCAGCCACATACGTCAGAGCTGCAGGTTTGAACCCAGCCTGGGCCTGCCAAACAACAATGACAACTATAATAAAAAAAAAAATAGCTGGCCACTGTGGTGGGCGCCTGTAGTCCCAGCTACTTGGCAGACTGAGGCAAGAGAATCACTTAAGCCTAGGAGTTGGAGGTTGCCTGTGAGCTGTGATGCCACAGTGTTCTACCAAGGGTGACATAGTAGGATCTCAAAAAAAAAAAAAAAAATACCCTTTATCGGCTTCAAAAATTATCACTTCATGCATCATGTTTTATCTACCCTTTTCTCCTTGGGGGAATGGATGGGAGGGAGGATGGAGAATATTGTATGGTAAACCCAATATCTATCATTTTACTGATCAGTACTTCTATAACCTAGAATAGAACTTTTAAACTTAAAAAAAAATAAAATCATGGGCAGCACTGGGGTACCAGCCACATACAACCAGGCTAGCGGGTTCAAACCCAGCCTAGGCCAGCTAAAATAACAATGACAACTGCAACAACAACAAAAAATAGCCAGTGTTGTGGTAGGTGCCTGTAGTCCCAGCTACTTGGGAGGCTGAGGCAAGAGAATTGCTTAAGCCCAAGAGTTGGAGGTTGCTGTGAGCAGTGACGACACGGCACTCTACCCAGGGCAACAGCCTGAGACTCTGTCTCAAAAAAAAAAAAAAAAATCACAGTGCCATCACCACCACCTATTATAATTAACACCAGTGTATAGTCGTGCCTCCTCAACTGTCTCAAAAGTATCTACTCATACAGGTGTCCCAAAAGTCGCTCATAAAGTCACCACACATAGGGAAAATAAATTCTGTATTAGTATTTTGTAAATAAAGGCATATTTAGCTACGATTTCTCATTTTCCCTATGTATGGCAACTTTATGGCAACTTGTGGGACACCTGGTAGTTGGACCAACCTCCGTTTTAAGACCAACAGAATGGCCTGGTGCATTGAGCATGGGCTTTGGAGTCAGCCTTCCAGCATTCACATGCCAACTCCTGTGTTTTTGTTTTTTTACAAATCAAGTCTATGTTGCCCAGATTGGACTTGAATTCCCAGGCTCAAGAGATCCTCACACCTTGGCAGGACCACAGGTGTCGTGACCCACCCAGCTTCCGAACTTCTAAGGCCAATGTCCCCCTGTGTAGCAAGCCCTTTTGGCCATACTCAGGGAATTCCTCTGTGTGGTACAATCAATTTTCTCTCCCCTCTGGAGCATGGCTGTCAAAATGCAAACGTGCTGTATTATTTTCCATCCTAAAAAACAACCACATTGTTGGTTGGCTAAATCCACATACACTTCCATATACCCCACATTCCACTCCAACCTCAGTTCTCTGCTCTCTTCAGAAGCAAGTTTCTCTAAAAATGACCAAGACGGGCTACCCTTCCAGTGAATGGTTCCAGGATATACCAGGATATCTTCTGTCCAGATACCCAACCCCTCAGATGTTCAAGTTCCTGATGGTGGCTGCATACGGCCTATGCACGTCCTCCAGAACATTTTGCATCATTGCTGGGTTATAGCCAGTCCCTAACAACGACTCGCGCTATTACAGGTCCTAGGTAAACGTACCTGTTCCAACTTATACACAAATTTACCTTAAGAACAAACCTTGAGAACCTACCTTGTTCATAGCCTGGAGACTGCCTGTACTTACACCTCCTAATACAATGCACATGCCATGTAAGCAGCTGTCACACTGTATTGTTTTTGCTAATTTGTACTATTTTTTATTAGTTGTTTTCCCCAAGTATTTTCAATCTACACTTGGCTCAATCCGAGGCGGCAGAATCCGTGGAACCAGAGGACAAGTTGCACTCACTGTCACTCCCTCATCTTACTTTCCCTTTTGAACTCATTCCCCCAAAGTCACCAGGGCCCTGGACCCAGTCAAGTCCACTCATTGTCCACACCCAGGGGCCTCATCCTACTCTGCCACTGCGCCCAGACAGGTGCTTCTCACTCCTTCCCCAGCACTTCTCTGTCCTGCCGTCTCCAATCTCAGGAATGATGCCACTATCTATTCTACCCAGGCACGCAAGCCATTCTCATGGGGTCATTCTCAACTCCCTCACCTGAAGCCCCTGCTCAGCCACCAGACAACTGCACTGGCTTGCCCCTCACCTGCTTCCCGGCCCACCCATGAGCGCCTCCGACGACAGCCAGCGTGCCTCCTCCAACCTGACTGCCACAGCTGCCTTCCACGTGGTTCTCTGCTCCCATTCTTGTCCCCCTCTGTTTATTCTGCCCAGAACCAGAGATGTCCTCAAATGCAAACCCCAGACCAAGTCACTGTGGCTCACCATCTTCTAGCAGTTCCCTATCACATTTAAATTAAACTCAATGTCCAATATACTCCAGCCCTTGGCCACCTCTCCCAACCTCGTCCCCCGACTCTCACACTTGCTCAGTATGCTTCAGCCGTTTTCCTGTTTCATAATCACATTCCTGACACACCTGCCATTCCCGGGCCCAGAATGTTATCTCCTCATCATCATTACGTAACACACTAACTCCATCCATCTCTCTCTCAAATGTCATCTCAGAGAAGCCTTCTCTGATCATCCTGGCTGGAACAGTGTCCTGCCATGCTCCAGCCCTCAGACTCTCTGCTGATTCTCACAGCATCTGTTACTATCTGACACTGAAGAATTTACATGAGAATATGAGTTCCAAGAAGGTAGGGAGTTAAGTCCTAAGACAGTGCCTGACACCTAGAAGACACTCAATATTTACTTAAAAAAGAAAAATGCTACTTTATCATTATGTGGTTCTCTCTCTTCAAATGGAGGTAACAGAAGAGCCCTGACCACAGGGCATGAGGACTAGAATATTTACCAGGTATACACGGCTCATCACAGAGCACGTGGGAAGGAAACACTGAAACAGCAAGAGCGGCCAATTTGCTTAACAATTGTTTGAAGTTCAAGGTTTATCCTTTTATGCTCACAACCAAGAAACCCCAAATATGTTCTAGTTTTACTACTAGTAAACCGATAATCAATAAAACATGGCCATGGGAATTTACCTTAATTATGCCACAGGACTTTCAATAAATTTGTCGAGTCTACTCAAAATCCAGAAGCTCAACTACGTGCTAAGATACGTGGAAAGAAACAAGTGGAATCTTTGACATCTACAACGGTGGCACTGCCCTTGGCAGGGACTCATACCCAGAGGACATATAATCAAGGGTCAAGGATGACAACTCTTTCTCCCATGGGCACCCAGTCTAGGGAAGAAACTCCAATACCAGCAGTGCAAGAGTCCCACCTACCTGCTTGATAATGTTCTGTCCTGTGACATTCTGGATGACAGCAGCCGTGGAGGCGCTCGGAGCAGAGGCCCCAGGAGAACTCGTGGCTGGCTTACTCACAGGGCTGGCTGCAGCAGGAAGACTCGTCACCGTGAGCCCCGTCTGCCCAGGTGCAGGCCGCTGCACACTGGCTGCCGCAGTCTGTGCTTTGACTGGAACAGTGGCCATCACTGTCTAGTTCAGGGCATGAGGCCAAGAGCTTGATTAGACACTAAGAGGCAGACCTGCTCTCCCATCAGTCTCCCACACACTACCACCTGGAAATACTCCAGTCAATACTCCACTGCGCATCTAACAGTGCCAAGGGCTCACTGTTCTCTGAAATGGACACTATAAATTTCTTATTTGTATGGAACATCTAAATTTTCAGAACGTCTTTACATTTAACATCTCATTTTATTCTTACACACTGAGGACAAATTGTTTTACTCATTTTAAAGTGAAAGACACTGAGGCAAACAAGATACCAACCTTCCCTAAAATCACATACCAAGTTAGCAGCACAGCTAAGACAAGTGGCACATTGGAAGGAACCTGAGACTCACAGGTTTAGAATAACATCCCACCCCCACTATGGCCCTGATGTTAGAATCCTGAATAACTAAACTTATTTGAAGGTCTGATGATTCCCAAAATGTAAAACAGAGCATCTAAAAACACATACCCAACTTTGAACATTAAATAAGCTGCTACAATGAACAGTAATAATCCACGACTCCTCAGTCCTTACCCAGACCTGCCTATCTGACTCATTAGCCCATCTCTGGGTACACTGTCCCTGCTTCCCTGTTTACCTGGGGCAGCACTTTGGTCTGTGTGGCAGTGGCTGGAACCCGGATCTGCGGCCCTGCAGGCACCTGCGGCAGCGTCTGTGCTGGCCCTGCTGCCTGCTGAGCAGCAGCAGGGAGGCTGGACTGGGCCACCACCCGCACCTGGGGCACACCGGCCGAGCCAGAATGGCTCACGACTCGGGCTGCAGCCTGAGAGCTGGGTGGAGTCTGGCTGGAAGCTGGAGAAAGCACTGTCCCCAGCTGTGGCATTGTTGGCGGGGACACCAGCAGAACACTATAAGGAAAAGCAGGAATAAAACAAAAAAACAAAAACTCAGGGCATGCATACAAAAGGGATTTGGAAGAAAAAAAGTTAAAGACGAAAAGGAGGGCCTTACCCTGAGCTAGACTTAGCTGGTTCTGAGACAGGGGTAGGGCCACTTTTGCTCACTGACGATACAGGAGGGGAGATGGGAGTGGCAGGCAATGCCGGCGTGGTAGGGGTTACAGGTGTGACTGGGGTGGGTGGCATGCTAGAGTCACTGAGGCTCATCTGGCTCTGTTCCGAAGGGCCGCTGCTGAGGACTTTTACGGAGCTCTCCTTGCTGGTGGACTTCTAGAAGAGAAGACAAAGGGAGATTCCCCTGCAGGGGCCATCAAATTTCCACTGAAAGCAGGCATGGCCCTGCAGGCCCTGCTGTGCTAAGTGAAAGCTGAGATCTACTCCTAGTTGCCTCCATCCCAGAACATGCTTGAGTCCCTACAGCGGATGCCCTGGGGAGGGCACTTACCACCTTGGATGGGGGCTTGGGTTTCTGCTGAAGGGCTTTTCTGGCTTTGGCCGCAGCTGCTTGTGCTTGGTGAATCCGCTCTGTAAACAAGAGTACTAAGCCTCAGCCAGAGCTAACCTTAGCATACCAAAGAGGGGGGCTCTATTATTAATGAAAACCGATGCCTCACTGGAGGGCTGGCCCACCTCTACAATTTTGTCCTGTCTGAACACCAACAAGAAGACTCATGGAATTGGGGGAGAAACCCAAAAGCATCCTAGTCTAGAAGAACAGGCCACCCAGAGGCCCCACACACCAAACTCTTCTTCACTCCGGTCGCGATGCAGGTAGATCCACAGCTTCCGCCCGATGTCATACTTCACACAAGGATCTTTCTCGTAATGCAGCCGATCCAGCGCACCACTCACTACTGTGTTCACCTAGGAGCCAGGTGCCGGGAAGAAAGACACAAGTCAGACCCAGACAAAGCAGCTGGGCCCCAGGGAAAAATCTCCAGGCAGAGGTCACTGCAGATAAACAGATCACATCTCAGCCTGGCTGTGTACTCCCAGGGACTCGCCAAATCGTTCGGTAAAACAAGAACTTCTGTAAGACTACTGAGATACTGATCCTTTTTCTTGTAAGGATACCGTGAACTTAAGTGAGCAAACAGCCTTCTCTTTACCATAAGCTAAAGGGAAACACAGAGCCAAACTTGTGCCTCACTGACAGCCAGGGTGTTCCAGTCATCACTATGCTTTTTTTTTTTTTTGACACAAGGTCTGGCTCTATTGCCCAGGCTAGAGGACAGTGATGTCACTGTAACTCACAGCAACCTCAAACTCCTGGGCTCAAGTGATCCTCCTGCCTCAGCCTCCCAAGGAGCTGGGAGTACAGGTGCCAGCTACAACATTCAGCTAATTTTTTATATTTTTAGTAGAGACAGGGTCTGTTCCTTAGGCTGCATCAAATTCGTGGGCTCAAGTGATCCTCTGTCTTGGCTTCCAAGTGTCAGTAGGATTACAGGTGTGAGCCACTGTACCTAGCAGCATTTTTAAGGATGTTATTTTTCTCTTTTTCGACTTAAAAATTTGTTATAGTTTTCATTTCCTCATAAGCGTCCTTATATCCATTCTGGGACAAACCACAAGTAATGTCTTCTCCATCCTACCTGAGTGCTAGTGACATCAGGTGCCAGAAACTGGGAGTCCTTGAGCAGTTCACAAATCTCTGCCCGTGTGCCTTCACCATTAGGCAGCCGAGCTGCAGCATCCCGAACTGATGACATAAGGAAATGCAAAGTCCAATAGTCAAGCAGGGCTGCTACAAAGAACCACACATCCCCTGACCCGCTCTGGTGGGTGGTGCTCCCGGGCCCTGCCGACTCCACACCGGGCACACACTGCCCTCTAGTGGCTGGAAGCTCTGCCGCTGGAGTTCTATACACTACCCTTCAGACAAGACTGAAGCAGAGGTTCAAGGGCCCATTAAATCATGGGGAAAAAAATCCTATCTGTAATAAAATCTGGTAATTTCTTCAAAAATAAAAGTATCATACATTAGCAGTGCTGTGGAGGGGTAACAGAAATCAGGTATTTTCATACATTACTGCTGATGCAGACACACAGATCATCTGCCCTCATCACTATTTGGAAATTACAGTAATTC